ATGGGATAATTTTGTACTGGCACATCGTCGTCTACTGAAACTGCTAGACTCGTTCATACAAAATTCCATTCGCATCATGCAGCTTACGTTCCTCATAACCCAAATGTATACGTACGCTGCGAGAGCAAAAAGAAAGAAACGTAGAGAGAGAGAAATAGAATGGAGTAAGCGACTCTCACCAAACATCACACAATCAACTCCGAAGAAAGTAACGACATAATTAAGAGTTTCGGCACTAATTTGCACACATAGAGATCGAATAAAAGTCCGAAGCATTTGCTACGATATGCGCATTTATACGTAGGTTGCTCCATAATTTTTTTTAAAATGGTACTTATAGTGTTGCCCGATGTAAACCATTGTCATATTCGTAAAGTTTGATGTTTTGGTATGTATTCGTGCCCTGAACCTTTTGTCGTACGAACGCTATTTGTATTGTTTACAGTGACTGGTAAACTGCGACTCAACAAAAAAATGAATTTTACACGTGAAGATTTTCGTAAAATGATTTACTACGATTTTCGAAGTAAATTATCTCAACAACAGTGTTTCGATCGACTTCATTTGGCCTTTGGCAATGAAGCACCAACCCTTCAGACAATTTATAACTGGTACCAAGAATTCCGTTGCGGTCGTAGTTCGCTCAAAGACGAGTTTCATACAGGTCGTCCAAAATCGGCTGTTGTGCCACAAAACATCGATGCTGTCAGAAAACTGATTATGGAAGATCGTCATGTGACCTACCGTGAGATTGAGGCATCTTTGGGCATTTCATCCCACAGCATACATACAATTTTGCATGAACATTTAGCCGTAAAAAAGATTTGCTCTCGTTGGATCCCACATAAATTGACCGATGAACAAAAAATGGCTCGTGTGAGTTGGTGTAAAGAAATGCTCAAGAAATTCAATCGTGGTGCTTCAAAAGACGTTAATAAAATCGTCACTGGTGGCGAATCATGGATCTACGCGTATGAGCCCGAAACTAAACAGCAGTCGACTGTATGGGTCTTTCAAAGTGAAGATAACCCAACAAAAGTTGTTCGAGCTCGAAGTGTTGCGAAGCAAATGGTCGCCTGTTTTTTCGCGATAAGTGGTCATGTGGCAACAGTTCCACTAGAGGCTCGTAAGACCGTCAATTCTGATTGGTACACCACCATTTGTTTGCCCGAAGTGTTTGGTGAAATAAGAAAAAACAACCACCGTCGCAAAATAATTCTTCATCACGATAATGCGAGCTCTCACACATCTTTTCAAACTACTCGATTTTTGACCGGTCAAAACATCGAACTGATGGGTCATCCACCGTACAGTCCTGACCTGGCACCCAATGACTTTTTTTTGTTCCCAAGCGTGAAGAAAAAACTACGTGGTCAACGATTTTCGACACCAGAAGAAGCAGTTGAAGCGTTCAAAACACACGTTTTGGAGATATCAGTTTCGGAGTGGCACGAATGCTATGACAAATGGTTTCATCGAATGCAAAAGTGTATCGATCATCTCGGGGAATATTTTGAAAAACAATAAAACCATTTTCGACAAAAAACAACTGTGTTATATATGTTTTTAAAAAAAATTATGGAGCAACCCTCGTATGTTCATATATTGGTTGGAGCAAATGTATACTTACGAGCACTGCAGCACAGACGCTTTCTTAACTGACACTCTGTTGGCTTTATCAGGTTGATCGTTATAGTTTATCGCATCGTCATTTATATGACACACGTTACGGTCACCCAACTGTGTACAAATGTGCATGCATAAAGTGGCCAATGCAAAGTGCTTACTCCGAAAATTAATCGCTGAATCTTGTATTGTGTGTAATGATAGTTTTTCAATGTGTATTCACTTCTTATGGTAGGTAGCATGCGATACACACTATCATGGGACTCCAAACATATTTCTAATACCTATACATCCGCACAACATCGATCTCATCATCGCGTCACACAAACAACCGGCACACAAATCGCCTTGGGTGTTATGACTTTGTAAAACAATTTACAATTTCACTAATGCCAGTGGCTCGACTTCACAAAATCGTCGCTATTGCACTTCTCAAATGCGTCCACTTAATAAATTACCTTACATATCGTTGAATAGATTGCAGTTACATCACATCAATTTTAGATCAAGATTAATTTAATAATTTTCCGGTGATTTCAATTAGCCAGAAGAATTTCAAAGTTTGATACTGTCTACAACAATCGATTCAGCGTAGAAAGTCTTGCTGTTGTACAAATTGTTTGTTTCCGTTCTTTTTATGGTCGAAGAGGGGAACACGAGTGTGTTCGGTAAAAAAAACTTTTGGTTCAACACACCTGAAATATACAAGTTACCTTTTCGATGACTTACAAGAACTTATTCGCCTTGTACTCCCCACTCCATTGCCAGAAAGTTGGAAAATTAATTTGAAAAATACACAAAACTTTATTTTCATTTTATATACTCCAAGTTTATTTAGTCAATTTTGTATATTTCTCTATTTACTTATTCTTCTTCTTCTTCATTAATGACAACAACAATTTTCTGCATTCTTCATCACCTTCAATACAATTTTTATCGTTTTTTTTTTTTTTTAAATTCTCCAATTCGATATTCTCATTCACAATTTCCTGAATTACCTGTCACAAATTACCGATAAAATTTTACTAATTTTCTTGCATCATTGCTGATTTCGGTGTGTAATGTTCAATATACACAACAATATATTATTTATTTTAAATTATTATTATTACTTTTTTTTTCATTTTCAATTATTTGCTCTGTCTTAGTTAGAAGGTTTCATCATTATTTATTTAAATAATTGAATACAGTCGAATTAAACCAAATCAACGTAATCAAAGGGATGATGTGTCACAAAACAAACCAATCCAATCGATTAACTAGCTAACTGTATTCTAAAATTATTTTATAAATCTCTAATGATTGTAATCATCTGAACATTGAAACTTGAAAGGATAAAATAAATTTCAATAAAAATGATTATTTCGTGATTGAATCTCATAAGAATTTGAACAAAATCGAAGATTTGCGAATAAACAGAAAAGAATAACAACATAACAAAAGCTCCCACTGTTCGAAAAGAAAAACATGTTCGTGTCTACAATTCGATACGCTGATCGGTATGTGTGAGTAAGCACTTTATTAAATCTCATATATCACCTGTTGACTGGTCTGTGCCATTGAAATTGATTTGTTTTGACATTCAAACTGTATAAACGTTATTTTTTTTAACGAGTTTTCGAATATTCAAGCGGCCGTCAACACATTTGGACTGCTTTGTGAAGCAGTCATGAAAAATGTCTTTTAAACGGCACAGACGAAGACTATGCTAAATGTTCGATAAGAACGAAATGCCGTGCATATAAATACTGTGTTGGTGTGTGCCACTTCCGAGAGACGTCTTTGCGTCACTGTGTATAAAAGTATATCTTTGTCAATTGAAAGTTTTGATAATTCAACACCACTGTCCATTAACTCCAAACCCAAATCCATTTATTGATTTTGTCTAGTTGTTGAGTTATTAAATTCGTCACATGAATAATTTAACATTTTTAATCGTTGAAATCTATTTCGATTTTTATGTGTTTGTTTCCATATACATTTATCGGCGTTTATTTCATTATAAATTAAACGCTTTCAATTTTTCACTGTCTCGACTGATAATTAAAATGGATCATATCTTATCTAAATGTTCCTCAATTAGACTATAAATTATCTCATAGAATAAAGAGCATACGAGCCCCCTTAAAAGGTAATCCATTTTTGATAGTAGTGTATGCAGCTTGTGTATCCAATGAATTATTACAGCCGAAATGTAAGTAGTATAAAAGCTCTTAAGTTCCATCTTTAAAACTTAAGTGTGTGCATGAATGAACTGGTTTAATGAAACGCTCTCTCTTTCTCATTTTGGGATAAAAAGTAATGAAAAATATAGGCCAATTGCACAGGTGAACATTCTAAATGATGCAAAATGTGCATTACCGAAAAATGGTGTGCAAGTTTGAATCGACTTTACCGCATTGTGGGAACCTTTCCAGCTGTTCGCTTCTTTTGCCCCAAATTCTCTTTTCAATAAAAAAAAAAAACGAAATGAAAATTAAATACTTTTAACAATTTGTTGTTCTTGTTCTCCTTCTCTCTCTCTCCCTCTCTCTGTATAATAATCAACCTTCAGCAAGCGTTAATTCTCAGATTAATTAAATACACGTTGAATTTTCTAGGTTTTTGCTTTCAAAATTATTAGTTTTCTTAATAAAAATCTCTGATATGTGTCTTAATTGTTTCATTTTTCTTTCCTACAGATACGACTAGTTTATGAATTTAGGTTAGTTTCGTCATTCATCTTTATCCATTATTATTTATAGTTTATTCATTTTAAATATGTTAGGTCCTTAATGTTATTTTATACAATTTTAATTCTTGTTATTTTTTCGTTTAAATTTAAGCATTTCATAGTTGTATACACCAAACTATGCATTCTTCATTGAAAATGTTGTTGTTGTTTTTTTTTATAAATTGTTCACAAGTTGTACGTTTGGATTTTTCAAACAAAGATTTTTGAGACAATGATTTTAATGGGGAAACATTTCGAAACTTTTTGTTTAAACGAAATCATTCAATTTTTGAGTTTGCACATTAGTTTTTTTCTTGCATCAAGCGCTCATTTGAAGCATAACAAATTAGATTTTCAATTATTTACATTTGATTTTCTTACGCGCTAGTGTTTTTTTGCCATCAGTGCCATAGTATACGGAAACTCATTGCACAAACATATCATATATTATAATGTGGTCACATTTGGATTTTTGACTTTTTTTTTACTTCTGCCACTGGAATTTTTGCGTTAGTTAACGAGCATCTCTTCGAAAGAGATTTTGAAGCAAAAAAAAAACATTTTAAAAAATAAATTTAACATTTTCAAATTATTTTTTTCCTTTTGTAAATACTCATATTAGAACTTTACAGAAGAAAGGTAATGTTAAAGTTCTAACAAAAGAATCTGTCAAGTTGGAAGAAAATGCATTTTTCAACGCAATTTAATTGTCATAGAGAAATGGAAAAAACTAATCGAAACTAAAAGAACTTGAACTGAAATGTGATATAGTTGTGACAGACGATTCAAAGCAATAATATCGATGCAAAATTGACGGAAGCACTCTTCAAATGCATTGAATAATGAAATTGAAACACTTGGAATGGCATTTTCACTGAAACTGGATTCAATACCTTAACATGTACTATTTTATTGGCAGAGAAAGAGCTCTTGCAAATTCACAAATTCTTTTACATGTTGTGATCAATTATAATCACAATAAATTCATTTTATTACCTAATCCTTTAAAAATTACTTAAAAATTTTCATCGTACCAATGCCATCTTTGGTTGTGGATGTTTTCCTCTGTGTTTATATGTGTCTTTCACTCGAACTTGGATGAATTTTCGGGCGAAAATGCATTCTGTTTAACTTACAAGTGGAAGTATTTGAGAAAATTCCATTACATTTCTTGACTACTTGTCGTCTTCAATTTACTTTCCTATCTTTTGTTATGAAGCGTCTTTCGTTTTCTTCTTATTATTCTTTGTTCAGTTTTTCTTTCTTTCTTTTTTTTGTTGCTCACAATGCTGAGAACGGCACATATTCAAAATTCTTTTTGCTGTGATGTTCCTTGCTTGGAAATTTTGAAATTATTAAGCAAATAGTAGATAGAGTAAGATGTGCATAGCACACAGAGATTCAGGCAGATTTACACACAGCGGAAGTTGTTTGGTACAACTGTATTGCATCTCGTTCATATGACAGAATGAATCTTTGACTCTATGTGATACTTGAGGATGTTGAGTGAGAGATAACAAAAAAAAATGTTCGCCCTCTCCCTTTCACTTTTGCATTTTAAATTGTTTGATTTCGAACCGTTTCATGTTGAATGCAATGGATACGATAGTAATTTTTTGTTCTTTCGTTTGTGTTTCGATGTGCATGTAGCAGCCAACACCCGACAGACATGCACAAATGCTTTTCTCGCTTTCGTTCGTCTTTGATTTATGTTCGCTTCGGTTCTGTTGTTTTTTTTTTTTGGCCGTTTGTGTTTCTGATAGAATTTGCATGTAATATTTTTCGACGATACGACTTGAATGTTTGTATTTTTATCGACGCAGCAACAGCAGCGGCAGTGATGACGATGACGACGACGGCATCATTGTGAACTCCAAGCACCCACGAAGGAAACAATGGAAGAAATTGGATTGTTCGCTTTTTTGATGTGACGTTCCATAGACAAGTTCATTCAGTTTCTTTTTCCAGCTTCATGCCATTATTTCGTCTCTTTTTTAAACGCCATTCTTCTTAAGTCTAAATCCAACGTCACTCTTATTTGTAATGGCAAGCACATTGAGAGACGACGAAGTAAACAACAATTGAGATGTTGTTTTTTTCCATGCAAATATAATTCTTTTTCATCTCTTCAATATATATTGAAAGCTATTTCACTTGTTTGCTTGTTTCAATTCGTGTTGTTAGTATTTTTGATTAAAAACAAAATCATTTATAGTTTTCATAATGTTTTCATGTTGCTATTTGTTTTTCGTTCATAATCTTTTTCTCAATTTTGTTGTGACGTACGTTTTAGTGCTCTTTCCAACTATTTGCTGTGGTGACGGTGTGATAAGATAATGAAAGAGTTGATGGTGTGACGATGACCAAGGGTAGGGCAATGAAGCGTTGCAACAAAAAAGCAATGATGACACAACATGTGATAAAGGTTTTTGCATTATGGTTGATTGTGATGGTTCGCATGATGTACAAAGGGACAACACATAAAAACAAGAAGAAAAAGAGAAGAAAAGAATTTTTATTTTAATTTTCAGCTCAAGCCGCGCACGTTTTTTGAAATTAAGTGATTATTCTAAAAACAAAATAAAACGATGATACAAAATGACGGCAATTACAATTTTACTATATTGGTTTTTATTGTTGTCTAAATGACGTAACGCCATACACATATAACCCAATTAATCGTAATTCCCTTTGGAAAATGAGTCGTATTTAATTAAATGTGTGTCTTTGTTGTGGCGAACGATGGCATTTTCGTGAATGTTCACTGAACATCATCATGCCATTTTCATGCACATAAAAATGAAGATAAAAAATAAAATGTAGAAAAGCAAAAAAAAGGGAGCAGACGGTCACGTAGCGAAAAATCCAGTAAATAATTTGTTTAATTGTTGCCCAGCCAGTATAGGGGAAAAAAAGAGAGTTTCAAAGAATCAGGGGTGGAAATCGATAAATATAATTTTTTTTAATTTTCGTGAAAATCCATTATAATGAGCTCAGTACCATAGTGAACGGGTGAAGCTTACCTTTGTAATGAACGTCGCGATACATGCTCGGACATAGTTTTCCATTTTGTTTCGTTCGAAAGTCAATATTTGTACGTACAGGTCGATGTAATAATGGTTGCGGTGGTCGAAAATTATTTCCCAATGGTGCTTTTGGATGTTCGGGTGTTCCTTGCATGAGCCGCCTCAATGCATGCAACTTTATTATGGTGGTGGGTTAGTTTTTGTCGATTCCGAGAATTTCATCCAATCACAAAATGGGCACGTCCAATCATCGGATGCGGAAGTACACGAAAAGGATGAACAAGAAATAATACAGGAAAAAATCGATAAAAAAATTGAATTCACATACAGAATGATGTAACAAATGAGTAGTTGGAAAGTTAATAAAAGTGTTTTAAGGCCGTAGAAGTGAATGAAGTTGTAAAAAAACGAGATAGAGAGAATCATCATCGGCGAAAATAGCGTTTGAACGGGAAAACAAAGAACGGTCAAAGTGAGAAGACATGAATAAAAAATTACGGCTATACATTCAGTTAATATAATACAAAAATGTATTTGCTGTTAATTTCGAACGAGTTTTCACATTCGCTACAGATTAAAATGTTATAACGGTTGTACATACAAGGCAGACGTGTGCAAACACACACACACACACGCGCGCGAGCGTGCTAGAGCCACGCAAGAGTATGAGCAAAGTCAATCTGTTCAGCAAAAGCAAACAATACAAAAGTACAAAATATACATCAATGTTCGTTTTTCCATTACGTTTCGGTCGAATAGTTTCGGTGGAGTTTTGACCAAAAATGAAAAAAACGGTACTCATTTTTTCTGCATTTGTTCGCACAAATACACACGGACATGCACACATTTAATTTATTTCGGCTTTTTGACCAATACACGTGCGTTTTGCTATTGTTTCCAATGAGGTTTTCGCTTGTTTGCTTTCTTTTTGTTTTCTTTTCTCTCGGCCAGTCTCTTTTTTTGTCCAAAAAATGTGCCATGTTAAAATGAGCCCAGATGAGTTATGTGCTTCTATTATTCATTTATCCGCGTAAGCCTTTCTCTCGCTCTTTCATGCAGCAGGCTACCATTCGTTGAATCAAAATAGATATTAAACTTTTGGCATATGTTTTGATATTAGCAAAAACCAAATGAGTAACGTCAGAACACTAGGAAGAATAGAAGTAGAAAAAAACCCGGAGAGTCCTTCAAACGCAGGAAGAGCAAATAGGAAGTTCTTTATTTGCAATTTGAATTAAAACAATGAAATGCTTTAATGGCTCTATGCATATATACTGAATGCTTTCATTCAACGATGATGAATGGCAACCTGAATTGATTTGCTCCAGCTATTGATACTTTCGAATAGCAGGGGAGAGATTAAAAGAAGTTATAGGAAATCAAAATGGATTTTTTTTTGTGCCAGCAAAAAATGATGCCCCATTTGAAATGATTGGAAGTTTAATGCCTCTTCGTATATAGAAAATAGAGGTAAAAACTCATTCTTCTCATTTTCATTAGAATTTCAATTTGGTGGTTTTTCACATACAAAAAAAAAAAAAAAACAATCTGCACATATTGTAAATAGTCACTGAAAACATTCATTACGAGAATTTCCTGCGACAACATTGGGCATTTTATACAATGATAACAGTGCACAGTGTTTGCCGTGTGGTTTTTGCTCTATTTGTTCTTTCTCTTGTTGTTGAAATTACCCAATTAAAGGACTACGACATGCTTGATACAATAGCAATAATTGATTCCGTAAATCAAACACACTATACGAGTTAGATGACACAAAAAATATACACTGACCGACCAAATGTGCCACGAACAAAAAAAAGCAACAACATTTCCCGGCTATTTATAAACCCAAAATACTTTTCCCATTTAAAAATCGAGAACTAAATTAAATTGTTTATTTGACCATGAAATTGAAGTATATGCCACTATTTATGTATGATGTGTGTATGTGTGTGTGTATGTGTGCAGCCAGAAGTGTGGACTGTTGTATTTTTTACCCGATATTCATTCAAACTATTAAGTTTGGCAAGGCTTAAAGTGCTGATTGTAACTTGTTTGGAAAATGTGGAAATTATGAATGTTCAATCGCAAATATATATCGAAGACAACAATTTCGGAAACGATTTATTCGAACCACTCTATTCACATTCATAAATTATCCAAAATAAGCGAGACAAAACAGTGAATTTCTTTTTTATCGAACCGAAAATCCAGCTACAAAATAGAAATATCATATTTTGAATCTCGTCGGTAAACATGCAATAAATTGAGATACGTATGCTATTGTACGATTGTAAACTGAATTTTTTAAACGAAACCGATTAAAAATTCAACGTTCTATTATAGAATACGAATAAATTTCGAAGATTGTAACCAGTGATATTCGGTGGTTTGTGTTAGTTTAGACCGAAATACACACAATTGTTGTCGTGTATTGAAGTGGCCGTTGGCAAATGTCGAAAAAGCCTAATTGCAATGTTCATTGTTTGAATATTGCTTGCGATGTCATCATATATCACTTCCAATGTAATCAAATATCATACACACACATTCGCATAAATATCAAAACATTCTATTGCCATATTCGGTTCACAACCATGTACTTGTTTCGACATCAGAAATATCGATTTCAATGCGATTTCTTGCTTGCTCGCTTGTTTATTTTGAATTTGTGTGTATATTACTGTTACACGTGAAGAGGAGGAAACAACGACGAAAGGATTTTGTATAAATCTCTCTATATATATTTTGTATGGATGTATGCATGCAACAGGAACACGAAAAACATGATAAAACTGGATGATACACAACGTCTCTATTGACATGTACTGACAATTGATATCTTCAAAATAAGCTCTTATCATGAAAATTTGAAGGAAAAAAAAACAATTATTTCGACTGTGCCCATCGACATTTAAAATTGCGACATTTAAAATTGAAATCATTTGATCGTCCATATAATGAACCGCACATACGATTATAGCTAAAATGTTAGTTTTGCTGTTTTGGTTTCATTTTTGAGTCATTGGCTTTTTATTTCATTTCGGAAAATTGATTACATTTTAGATTTTAAAATTCACAGAAAATCCATTCGACATTTTACAATCTAGATTTAAAAGAAATTACAAATTGAAAATCGAACATATTCTAATTGAACAAGATTGATGGTTTTGTATATATGAAGAATGAGTATGCAACACAAATCACAAGTTATTTTTACGTTTTCATTGTAATTGAGAATGCATATTTTTCCGTGTGCATTCAATTAAGCGAATTGAAGGGACTCATTCTAATGGTTGTATACTAGAAAATAAACAAATGGGCGAACGAACAAAACCATCATTCGGATAAATGCGTTCATGTTGTTTTGTTACGGTTATTCAATCAATATCGGTGACATCAACCACAATATCGAGCTACTATCAATTCGCTATCTCGGTAAATGTCACTAACATGGGCACAAACAGTCTCTCATTGTGTGCATATTCAAATCGAATATGTGAGCGAGACGAAGTGAATGTTTTGTTGTATGCGGCGATGCCAAACTGTCATTTAGATGTACATATATATAGACATCTAGCAATACTTTGTGCATCGATGCGTTTTACTTGAATGTTATAAAAACAATTTTCTAACTGCATGCAAACGAGGTAGAACGTGCGCGTTCGTTTATTATATAGTACAGTATCGCGTGAAATAATGTCAAATTTTATACACGCAGCAACGAACTCAAGCGCACGGAAAGAGGATTGTTGCAAACTGTTAGCACACAAGAATAAATGACATATCTTTCAGACAAACATTTCTTTGACTCTCGCTCTCTCTCTCGCTTTCACATACTCACTCAAGCTCACTTGTGTTTGTTTACCAGTTTCAACTTGAATGTTACAAAATATATTTTACATATTCATTCGGAAAATGCAATGACACGATGATAAAACTAAATTCATTTGGAATGGGTACATAAATAAAATGGTAAAATGTCAGAGCAAACAACACTTCAATCGAAGGTTCGAAGGGAAGTGTGGTGGTAAACAGAATGAGATTTATATTATTTATAGCGATAGCGAACAAACAAACACAATGCAACGAATCGAACGGTAACTGGGAAATGCTCATTCAGTCACTCTCTATCTCTCTACTCGTTCTCCTCCTGCTATCTATCGCGATATGTCATGAATCATGATGTTGGAAAGCCCGATCTTTATCTCGTTTCGAACTTTCGATGACGTGGTGGTTTGAAACTGCAACTGCATTTATATGTATATTTAGTGCCTTGCATCTTATTATTCTATTTTCCGTTTTTGTTGTTGTTGACAGAGCAGTGCTGCTGAAAAACAAACCTGCTACAATTTTATGTGCATGCAATGTGTTTTTGTTTACATTTCTGAAACTTATGTATTTGCATCGCTTTTTCAGGGTTTTTGAAAATATGAATCGATATATTTCATTTGAAGTCGAATGGAAATTGCATTTCGATCAAAGAGAATGAGCAAACTTGGAATATGAAAACAAATAATAACGAAGTGCAGTAGCAGCACAAGCACGATTCTTTTGGTTTATTTGTATTTGTCGGGACAAATGGAAAAATTCTCTTGACATCTAGTAGACTTTGTGACAGTATAATTCAATATTTTTTCGTTCCCTGTTGTTATTATTAACGCAACAAAACAAAAATGGAAATGCTTCATGTTCGATTGATCCATATGGAAAGCAAATATATGTGCGCGGGTGTGTGTGCTCAAGTTCGTTTGAGTGATTTTAGCTGATGTAAAATTCATCAGACAGAATTCATGTGTGTGCTAGATAAAGTTAAAAAGTAAAATGCATACCTGTTGCAATGTGATGTAGATCGGTTTATTTCTGAAATGGGAAGAAAAATTTGGAAAAAAAATTGAAGTTACAAATATACAAAAAAAAAAAAAAAAAAAAAAAAAAAAACAATATTTACAGTACAATCCAGGTGACAGTTTCATGGCAACCGGGCGCTGTCGTTGAACCTTCATATGTCATATAGTGTTCGGTGTCAGGCAACAATCCACGTATAGATATGTGCTTTATTCTAGCTTCATTATCACCATAACGAATTCGGTTCAGCTCTTCGGTGAGTATCCTCAGTTCGGCATTCGATAGTTCGCCTTTCTGATTGGATCAAAAACCAAATGTACACACACAAAATCGAATTAATATTTTCAATATATATCGAATACAAACACATGTTATTTGAATGATGTGATGTAGATAGAGAGTGTGTGTGTGTGTATGAGAGAAAATTGAAAATGGATGAAACAAATTCGGTTTCGATATCTAATATTTACCTGTAACAATACTGAAATGCCGACAATCCCTTGAGCTCGATTCATTGAATCCGTAAAATTTGTGTAGAGTTGTGAATTATAACCAAATATTTGTATCTATGTCCAAACATGAGAGAGAAATAGAGAGAGAAAAAGTGCATTAGTTCGGGAAAATAATTTAATTATTGATTCAGCATAAAATTGAATTCGATTTGGTTTTCGAGTTTATTTTTTCTTTGTTCAATTCTAACCTCCGCCGGGAATGTATAACTGCTGACACTATGCTCAGATCCATATTGATCGTGTAGCCCATAATGGATGTGCATCTCTTCGAATCGATAACGATATGACAAAGAAGCACCCGTAATATTTATAGCTAAACGAGAATCATCGTAAATCTGACTACTGTTTGAATCCACACGAAATAAAACACTGTGGCCGGTATTAACGAGTACGCCAGTTATCTATTGACACATAAATAAATGTAAAAAACATTTTTGTTGTTGAATAGTGAGATTAAAGAATGTTTATTATATTTTTTGCCACGTTGAAATTAATGTTTAAATCTATTTTGCATGTGGAAAATGTTTAAATATCATAAATAGAGTGAATTTATTTGTTGTCGATATTAATAAATTTTGATGATTTAAACTTTTTATCGTAACACCAGTAATAAAAATGATGGCTCACCCGATGCTTATCTATATGTAAAGGCCTTAAATTCGGATCGAATAGTAAGCGTTGTGGTTCTAAATTGACGGGCGATTGACGTCTTCCTTTATTGCATAGCGACCATTCTGGATTGATCAGACCCCAAAATGCTGTTGGAGAAAAATTATAAAAATATTTATATTTCGTCCTCAAAAATTATCTGCAAATTAATTTTGTCGATTCACAATCATTCACTAACCTGGTCCTGGATACGAATTCGTCGCCAATGAAACAGTGGCAGCGGAAGTGAAGAGAAAAGAAAAGGAAGAGCAAACGTTTAAAAACAGATATTGGCATAGTGTGCGCAGCCGAATAACATAAAACTATAACAATGTAGGCAAAATGATAAGCGCCTTATTACATATATCTGATCAAAAGATTTTTCTATCTATCATCAGCTGCAACAACTTTATCAAATTTGCAAGATGTGAGCCATTTATGCTCAATTTTATTTATAATAGAATTTTATTATATTTATACTTTGTATGACTGAATTGTATCAGTTTTTCCACAAGCGCATATTTCACAATAGACGCATAGATTCAACAGTGCCAAAAACATTTTTGTTGCGATAAAGTCATGATAAACATGTTGAAAAAAAAGCAGCGGCATCAGTAGTAGCGCCAGCACTAACACAAAAAATGGTATGCGTGCATGCGAATTATGTGCTGAGGTAATGCAGTAAAAACATGAAGTGTTGTTATAGTAAACCAAAGACCATTCAACCGAATGCTGATGGTGATGACGATGCTCGGCGTTCTTGTATATAGTTTGTAAAAACATGCGGCGTGCCTAAATTGCTTCGTCAGCACATCCATCATACCATTCGATGCGCTTAAATTCCTTGGCTCGAACGTTCATTCCGCCCATTCATAGCAGTCACATGCGTATAAGCTCGAAACCAAGATTCAGCTATAAGACACACAAATCCTGTGCAATTTCTTCAATTTGCAATTTTCAAACTTAAAAACAACATCAACGCTGCTCCTGTTCAGCGAATGCATTTATAAACATTCGATTGTAATAATCAAAAGTGAACGTTACTCGTTCGAAAATGGCAAATCCTATTATTTTAGAGTTTTCAAAGTGATTTGAAATTCACCGAAAACACAATTTATTTCAGTTATGAAAATCATCGATGAAGATTGCAAGAGAAGAGCGATAGAAACTACTTTACGTCACATCGATTTAAATGCAGCCATTGCAATCTGTACACTTTTTGAGGGAGTTTGCTTTTTTTAAGTTTTCTTTCCAAGTCTCGACTTGGAAATCACTCAATTCATCTACTATGTTCGTTGTAAAGTTTTCATTGTCGTTTTGTCGTAAATGAGATAAATCATTCACACTTCATTATTTATCCAAAGTTCTGAATGTGAATACATTTCATCTGCACGATAAAACAGATGATGTGAGTCGCTTTGCAACGATAACATAAAGTGAATCTACACTATTCTCTCTCTTTCTCTCTCTCGATTGTTTTAACAACACAAAATTGTGTACATTCTATGGTGTCTGTATGTAAGTGTGAAATTGTGTGTGCGCGTTTATCAAGTTTATGATTAAATAACTCAACCTTGGGAATAATGCATTTGATGATACGATAGCATTTGATGGATGTAATGGTGTGTCGAATGTTCATGTTTTCAGCAAAACGGAACCAATTGCATCGCATGCCATTAATACATTTTTAATGAATCAAAAAAAGTGCATTCGCATTCACCAGAACGTTTTATCTTTATATGCAATCGATTCATAAAATCCACAAACGACAGCACAATATATCAACGAATCGAATAGAATTTTTGCTCGTGTTGAAAATCATAAATCAACATTTTATAAAATTTGTGCGAGTGGTGAACAACCACATTCGTTTTTTCCCTCTATTTCTCTCTCATTCGTGTGATTTAACCGTGGAATAAAGTAGAAACTCTTGCGAATAATTGTTATCGAAATGCCGAGTGATTGGATAAATTACGACTGATTATGATTACAAAATGGTATTGGGTCTGTTTGAGTGGAGCAAATTATGTCAATTATGAACTCTTGAGATTGGTGACAGACAGTGATAGTTTGTGGTGAAGTGTTTCTCCAATTATTCGCAATCAACATTTTCTACATGAAAAATTCACGACTTGTTGTCATTCATGATGTGTGTGTGTATATGATATGGTTTTTTTTGCAATAAATTGTGATATTGAATCGTATTTTATTGTGTTGAAAATCTGTCGTCCAAAAAGTCGATCATTGGCATTTGTTCAAAAAAGGAAGATGTGATTCATAACGCTTAATCAGTTTGATTGCAACGACGACGAAAAATTGATTGAAAAGGCGTCTGTGATAAAGTGGTTTTCAACTTCTGACATTCATAAGAATAGACCATCCAAAGACTCAAGTGCGCAAAAAAAGCAGATTGTTGCTCACGACTCTCTTAAAATCAAAGTCTCTGCCAAAACCAACGTCACAAAGAGATTGTAGTCATCTCACAAAGCGAGTCAGAGATCACAATGTGATACGTGTACGACGTGAGCTATCTTGCTTTCTCTGAATTTCGTATTTCGCACAAAGGGAAAAATGTATCGCCTTTTCCGTCAATAACATCCAAAGCCGGATATCTTGTGCATGAATAAAAGCTTGCAAAGCAAAATTTCTATTTATTACTCGTCGTAAATTTGAGCCATTGAACGTGGCATATTTGTTCACTCTCTCCCGCTATCTACTTGCTTTTTACATTGCTGTGTGGCCCGTACTAAGCATCAAACCACCACTAATACTGAACAAGCCATGAGCACAATAGAGATGAGAGCAAGGAAGAGAGCAGAAAAACACTCTGCATCGATAACAATGGATTTATGTGGTCGCTTCTGTTCATTTATCGATAGTCCATCATTGTTGTCTCGCTTGATGATGAGATGATGACGTTGTTAAATGCTATTTGATAGATTATTCTCCCGGCAAAATGATTTTCCATTCGATTCGATTTTATGAGGTAAATTTTCAAAAAAGATGCAAAATTCTTGGTAAATTTTTATTTGATATAACAACACTGGTGTATAGATGGTCTAAATAGAAAGCAGTTACGCTTAACAGAGTAACATATATGGATCAGATCACACATGTGCTATATGTTTTGAAATTCATAATTTCCTGTTTGCATCAATTCAATTATCAAATGGAAATCGATGGAATCACCTTGAAATGTATTACATTGATTGATAAGATAATGAAACATTTTTGCATGCACACGCGCCGAAGATATACCGGATATTGGTTATTGAAGGCTTCACATTCTCAATACATATAATTTCTTTTTCGTTACAATTTACAATCTCTTTTTAATGACAATGAATCATCATTAACGCTATTGAGTTTACAGAAACACATGTGATCCAAGACAATATCCTTTTTAGTTTAGCTCAAATATAAAATCAAATCTTCAAATATCAATTGAATGTGGGCAAATAACCACAAATGTTTTGATCGTATTTAAGAAAATTTCTTAATGGCAAAAAAACATATTTGCTGATTGAATGGACTTCAAAATAAGCACTCGTTTCGAATCGAGTGACTGTGTTTGACATAAATTCTTGATAAAGAATACCCTTTCCGATATAATTAGCTAATTGGACAATCTATTCACGACCAGTTATTACTAATGTCAATTGGCAAAAAAGGTGAGGCACATTTCATTTGAATTTATTCTAAGTTGGCGTTGTGTACTACAACAAATAGAAAATAGAAAGGATTGAACAAGCCCAACCAACACAATATCAGCTCTGAAATTCAATTTTTCAAATTCCATGAATGCCAAATCAATCATTCAATAGAGCGAATCGTCTGGAATGAAATGCAATTGTTATATTTTTATATTAAAATTCTCAAGGCATCTTTTTTTCATCCGATCCAAATTTATTACGCACAAATTTCAAAATCGATGGCAACATATTATGGATGACAAGCATTTTTGGGGAATTTGTGTTAATAAACAAAAAGTAAGCGTAACATTAATTTTTAATTGATTTCATGATTTTTATTGACAATGGGATTGAAGCTAAGAACATCAATCTAAAAATATACATAATTGGTGACGATTTATTCCCTTGGTGATTTTAATTCGAATTGAATTATGATTCGAGGCAACTGAGGAGTTTGGTTAGATTGTCCAATTGTAACTTTTCCATAAACTTTAATCAATAACGTAATAAAGATTGACTTTCCATTTGTTTTCCATTTTCAATTATGTTAAAAGGCTATTTAACAGAGCCAAACTGAAAACAGTTGGATGGAATTAGAAGCACAATGAAAATTGATATTCTAGCCAGGTTTTTTAATGTGTGAGAATCAATATAAAATGTTCAAGTGGAAAAAGAATAAAAAATTAAGGCGCTCTCAATATTAGATTTCTAGTGTCGTGTGATTTTGACATCTAATTTCTGATAATTGTCCCTTGACCAAAAGTAAAACCAATAAGTAGTCAGTCGACCATCTAGACGCGGTTTTTGCATTCAAACGCATTTGCAATTCAAGGTTTGTCAAATTTGTTAGTAGTTAATTATGAGCAGTTACATTTAGGGACTTCCACAACTGAAATTAAAAAAAAAGATATTGAATTTCCAGTCTTGTCACTTTTCCATGAGGGTTTAATTCAATAAATTAAAAATATTCAAAGGTTTTTTAAAAAAGTGGAAGCAAATAGAATATGTTTATGGTAAAATGGAAAGCAGGTGTTTTGTTAATTCAAAAAACTCAAATATACATTTGTTCAAAAATATCAATACTCATTTCGGAGATTGATATCATTCCAAAGCTTCGACACATTCACCCAATTTTAAATATTCTCTATTTTTGTGTTGCCCTTTAGAAAAGTTTCGTATGTTGTGGTTTTCATGTGCATGTATCAGTTCAATAACCAAAGCAGGCGTGTATTTGAATGTGAATGCCTTAAATGAAATTTTACGGCAAACAAAATGAGTAAATATTTCAAGTTTCTGTTTAAGTTATTCACATTAGGATTCTCTGTGAATTAATTTCAGTATATGTTTTGTGTGTGTGTATTGATGTCGATAATTTGGTTTTCTTGCTTTGTTTCGCCGGGTTAAAAGTATCCGGTGCGTGTGTTCGATTTTTTGCTTGTGGTACTAAAAGCCACAAACCGTAGCCACAAGCAAATATATGTATGTTCGCGGTTCACATCTTCTTCTTCTTTATCATCATCACCATCTGTTTAAATTAATATAGAACAGACTACAGATACTTTCGCATGGCATTTAACCCGTTGTTCCAACTCAATTATTCAAAATGTGTATATTCAAAGTCTCATCTTGGGTGCGTTAACCATGCAAAGATCACCGAAATACACATTTAACAAAAGCGTCTCGTTCGTGATTCATCAATTTAACAAAAGATTCAAAGATTCCCTTCCATCCTGACATTAAACACGCGTAACCGTAAGCAGTAAATTGTAAGAGTGCTGGTGGTGGTTCACGTCGAAGTTAATATGAGAATGATTTTTAAAAAACGGCTTAAAAATCACATAACAAAATAAATACAACCAAACCTGATGGAAAGGTGAATTTTTGATGAATTTTGATTTTTTGATCTACAAAGATTGTAAACATACCGTTGTAATTTACTTGAATCTGAAAACCAAATTCCATTGTTATACAAGGTATTTAATTTCAATATTGTTAGTAGAATCGATGCACATGGCTAAAACTTGCTGAGCCTAAAATTATATTTATGCTTTTCGCACAATCGCATTTTTGACATGTGCCTGTGTGTCGGCTTCTTGTAGTGAGGAATTAAAATTACCGAGGTGTATATGTACACATATCTTCAAAATTATGAGTAACATATTTTAGATGTTTTGGTTTCACCATGACAAGCATGTTGTGGCACCAAAAATATTCGAAATATGCTTTCGTCGGTAGAATGGTTTTGAAAAGAGAACTAATGAACTTTCTAATTAATAAATGCTAGAGTAATTTTTAGTGGTCAAAATATACAATTGACTTAAATTAAATTCTTTTGCGTCCATTTAAAAATGGACAATGCATTTTCCAAGTTTCAAGCAATTATGTATTTCCGTGGTCCATTGTTATTGATTTTCATATATTTAATATACATAAATGGTATAATTGTAAATGCATCCATATGTAAAAGACAATGGTGAATATTTCGCATAGTTTCAATAATATGGAATGCATGCCATTGAAAAATATTTTGAGAGAATATTGAATTGTCTCGAATAATAACTAAAATGTAGACATTCCTCAAATGATTATTTTGGCTTTCGCCTCATGGAAACCATTTATTCAATATTATTATTAAAAATTGATCAAACCAGAGTGTGCGCACGGTTGTGGCTAGTTAAAGGTGGTCCATCGAAAACCCCTAGCAAATCGAAAGAACTTTTCTTGAAAAAGTTGTTTTTCATTCAACTCATCAAAACACATAATTTAATTAAAAACCATAGAAAATCGAATTTTCAGACTGAATTAGGGAGTGGTAGCTCTGAAAATGTAGCAAAGGAATCCCCGGGCTTACACCCCCTGACTATGTATGTATCAAACTATATTCAAAACTATGAATATAAATTCTATGAATTTCCTATATTATTAAGATTGCAATGTTGAAAATCAAATGGTGGAAAATTAAGTACCAAAAAACCGGAAGTTGATGGTTTAAGTTTGATAACGAATTTGAGAAGACAGAATTAGATAAAATTTCTCAATATTCGTCATCAAACATAAAATGGATATTGTAAAGCATGACTTTACCTGGTTAGGAGTGATAGATAAACCTTTTTGTGAGCAAAGGTTTGTGATTTTGTTCAAAATCGTGATTATAAAGTGATTTTTCCATATAAAAGGATTCGGTATGGTGATAATTATTATGATTATCGGCGAGGTCACATGATCAAAAAGGTGAAAGTTTTCAATATGAACATAAAATCGTTTGCAGCAGAACATAAGGGGAAAATGGAATAGACACATTAACGAAATGCAAATAAAAGTACACAGTGACTCGGCAGTCGGCACAACCACCAAGGGTAGCACATAGATGAAAAGAATTGCTGTCGCTTGTGCGCACAAAAAACACAAACACACCGAGGAGACAAAGAACAAAAAACGCATTAGATAATAATAAAGCCAAAAATGAATTTAACTAATGGGATCGCACCGAATTAATTATGTATGTATGGTTTTTAAAATGATTTTTACCATCCTTCGGAAGGTCGAGTTAATGAGTTAGTGACTGTAAAATTGCTACAAAATGCAAAGTGTCTGAATAATTTTCGGTTTCCTCTCGAGACCACTTTAGACTGTGAAAAATGTAGCCTATCGTGACATGCTTTGTGGTGTTTATTCTCGACCACAATTTCTGATACAATGTTTATAAAATCGATTTCTGAAACTCGAAAAAAAATATCAGAAGGCTTCTCCGAAAACCGCTTGTGATCAATGTGGATGCCAAAAACATCAATGTAGGATTTGCATTTTTTGCGCATAAATATCTAATATGTATATTTTCGTTAAATGCTTATAAGTATATTTTTGGTAGAAAATAATGAGTTGTGCTGTAGGCGTTTTGGCATAAAAAAAGGCAAAAAAATACGACTTGTAATAGGTTGTCGATAGAAATCTTTTGAGATTTCAAAACCATTATATTTAGCCTGAAAGAATATGTTTCGACTGGTCTTTTGTTATTTATTTATAAACATTGAATATTGACTCACCTGAAATACCATCATAAGTCCACCAGTCCTCCCAGCTAACAGCACTCGTCACTAAAAAAAAAAAATTAAAAATTGAAATCAACTTTACAAAATGCCTCAAGTTTGGAAAACATTATCATTTCCTACGCGTTTTTATTTTTACACGCAACAAAACCACGAGAAATATTTGAATCAACAAAAAAAAATCCATTAAAGCATTTGAGCATAACCTCATAATTTCCATACCATCTGTGATTTTTTCTTCAATTTTAGTTTAAAACTTTGCTTAATTAATCGAAATCGACGTGGAAATCATCATCAGTATCATACAACGTTCATTTACACTGTCATTTTTGGTGAAAAATAAATGTGAGCTGATCAACGAACGAAATAAATATGAAATATGATATTTATGGTCTGACATTTTGTCCAATCCATTTTACCTAAATGGAACTGATATTTAATTTATATTTCAAAAACTTTTTCATTCGGAAACTAGTCGTTATTAACTATTATGAATCTCTCCATCAGGGACACGAAAAACAATAAATTCGTTTTTAATTGTTTAGATGTTGTGCGTGGTATGCATGCCGTAAAAGTTTTTTTCTTTGATTGAGCGTTCAATTTGAAGCTGGCGTGAAATAATGGTGAAAAGGGTGACCGAAAAAGGATCAACAGCAACAAAGGTAAACTAAATACAATTAAAAGTAAAAGTAAGAATATACATCAACAACTCTTGCTTCGCGTCGAATCATTTAAATAATCACTGAGGCAAAGTGAACTACAAATCCATTTGGCAGAGGTGTCTTGCATTCAGACATGCCCATATAAATGCAAACATATATATTTATTTCAATAAAATCACAAAGTATACATATTTACACACACATATCATCAAATTCAAATTATAAACAAAATCGTATGATACACGCATCGTTTCATTTCGTTTAATTCTATTTGATTGGTATATGCCTAATGAAAAGCTGGTTTGTACAAATCAGAATTAATGCAAACAATTCTTTATGAATATGAATACATGATCGATGGTAATTTTACATAAAAAAAATTTTTTGTTGTTCATCAATAAGTCAGGATTTTAGTATCAATAATGATCGGTTGATTAATTGTATGGGAATATTGTTGATAGATGTCAACGATACCAAATTGCTTCAATTTATTACACTTTCCATCGTGCACAATGAACAAAACAAGTTCTGGAATAATTGAAGCTAACTACAAATATCGATTACGGTCTAATGAACAATTCATTTGGCTTTCTTGTTAATTCGATTTTCGTCAATTTCGATTGTTCTCGTGAAAAAATAGCATTTTTTATTCGTTTAAATAGGGAAAGAAAAATAGTTGCCATTCAATATTGGTCACTCATCACAGTTAAGCGATTAAGCTTATCAAATGTCAACAGCACAGCACGACCACGATTTGAATAAAAAATGTCATGAATATTCGATGATGGCATTCAATGCTAGTTCTGCCCTGTGAACATGCATATTTTTTTCTCGTCGTTACGCTTCATCCTTTGCTATTGTGCAGTCCGTCATCGCCATTGCCGTACCGCCAATTTTGCACCATTGATACTGGGCAAACAAATGAAGCAATTTTTATCACTTCATTTGCAGCCAAATCAAAAAATAAATTTTCAATTTTCGGAATGTCACTTACCGTAACTGACAGATATCATTAACAGGAAGTGCATGAAAATACCCCCAATAAATTCAATTTACAATGTATATTCCAAAATGTATATGCACACGTACGTTTGCGGCTACTTTTCTCTATTACCACAATGGAGCCGCTTTTTTTAATTTGTCTTCATTTTCAATGCACACACTGTGCTCTGGTTTTTATTTATACAATAAATCATCCATTTGTTTGGTCGAAAACATATGTATGGGTTTTCCTTTGCTGGGTGAAACCGATTTGACATATCTATCCACAACGCTCTCTCTCTCTCTCCCGTCTTCTCAGTCATCACTTTGATTGGCTTAGGTTACGATGATATGGAGAATGGCATTTATTTCGTATGAATATATCCGGCACATGAATACTTTGACTCCAAAAGCCGTGTCAACGTCAACAAAACATTCCACAAAACAACAAATTGTTTTCTTTGGTAAGTCAATCTGGTCTCTTACTTTGCTCTATTTCAATCTTCAACGAAAACCAATTTTGATTGTTGTGCCTATGTGAGTACAAGAACCCAAATGCTTTATGTGCTTTGTGGCACCAGGCATTATATTGAGATATTTTCAGCCAGCTCACGGAGCTAACGTCTGGCGTTGAAACGGATTGAAAACAGTCACACAGTCAATTGTTTTCATTCTGTTTCAGCACCTGACGTAAGCTTCCTGAACTGAGTCAGCTGCCTGAAAATATCTCAATATATTGTCTGTGTTGGCAAATGTCAAATAACAAATTTACTTTATCTGCATGGAACAATTTGACAATATATCCTCGAATATTTAATTAGTTTTGAACTTAGGACGTTATTTGTCGGAGAAGGCGGAAACACTATGAATTGTTTCCGGTGTCGCTCATTGAGCAATGACCAAAGCTATTGGCAAGCAAAAATGGAATAAAAAAAGACAATTTTTATTTGGCCTCGATCAACTCGACTCAAACCTCATTTTTTCGTCAGAATAAAACCCTTTGGAATACTTCCAGCAAACGATTCCAAATGACTATTTTTTTCTTAAATATTCATATTAATTCTCCAATTGAGATTCTTCATGAAGATATTTGTATAATAGTCTCTATCTTCAACCTGTTATCTTTTGGTTATATTCAAAGATACCATTTTTGAATGAATTAAATACTTTTTTGAATGTACAATGAACATAGTGCATAATTTGAAACTAAATTTAAACCGAGTATATAAACTTTCATCGATTTTTTTCTTTCGTTGAAATCATTAATTCATTCATTCGTTTGTAAAAATTGAAATGTTCGTTGTGTTCGTTCGTATGTGCGATCGAACACCGAACACATCCGGACGTCCGGATGTTCGGCGCACAAATTGTCAAGTCGAGTTTGCAATTCTCTGTTAAATATTTCGAAATTTTACAAAAAATAATTATTATTAAATAAATGAATTTTCAAATATTTTTCAATTCACATAAGCTTTTGTCCTTAATTTGCACACTAACAAAATATTAAATTTTCTTATTACGAATTTTAAGAAATTCCGTATATTTGGTATAGTCTATACCTGAAATAACCTCATATTTTCAATGATGAAATAAATATAGATGAATTTCATAACATTTCGTGAAAAAAAAAATATTTTATTAGAATTAGAAATAATTTGAAAATTTATTTATTTAAATATTTTTTCCTTTGAATTTGTACAATTATAAATTATTCAACAAACCTGATTTTACAATTTTGCTTCGAAAATCCAGACGTCCGCACGTGTTCGGTGTTCGATCGCACATACGAACTAACACAACGAACATTTCAATTTTTACGAATTTTTTAATAACTTCAACGAGCGACCGACCGATCACAAAAAAGAAAAAAACGCACACGAACGACCGATCACAGTCGGACATTGATGTTCGTGCCCAGCTCTGTTTGCAGAGCATAAATAACCATAAAGTCGGAATTATTTTCAGGTATCGAAAAACTATTAAAGCGATTTTCCTCATAGAAATATTGAAGACATTTTCTCACAAATTTCGCATTGAAAATGATGATTTTCCATTTTCATCAGAAATCATTATCAATCGAAATGAAATAATTACATAAATTCCATGAATTCATTGAGGAAAAAAGAAATTTTAAATTTGATATTTGATAATGGAAGTTGGTAGTGCACAGTGTTTGCACATTGCAAATAGAAATGATCGAATAAATAAATAATAATTGACATGATTCTTGTTTATTTTCAGATCCATTAAACACATGTATGTTTTAAAATTCATCAGAATCTATGTATTTGTTGATAAATTGTATATATTGACTAAATTGAATTTGTATGTGGCTGTTGCAATTTATATAATTAATTTCACTATTATGAGGACTCGGTCGGTCTCATATTTCATTTTTTATAAAACTCTTTCCTAAGGGGTAGACATGTTTCATCTGATGCACTGTGATTCGAAAGATTCAGATTGTTTAGATGACATTTGAAATGTTATTTGTGTGTCATACAAGAAATATTTAATGAACAATTATTAAAATTATTTGTCTTCGAAAAAAATGAGTTATTGACGTTTTTTCAAATGTATCAACTCATCATTTTTATTTATTTCTTGTTTTTCTAGTAAATTCCAAATAAAATCAACGGTAATATTTAGAATTTTGTTGAAAGATCATGTTAGTAAAACAATAAATAATAAGTTTTATAAGTCGTGTTTACCCCCTTGACTCTTTCTATATTGAATTACTATAGTTTCATCAACATTCTCTGTTCACATTTCAATTTCTCGAGAATCAATCAAAAAATTACGAAATAATATTACGAGTGCAAATGCAAAAAGACATCCAACATCAAATGAAAACGTCAATGGTGGTGACAAAACCGAGTTAATCGAAGCGTTTGTCATGCATTGAACGTGTAACAAAATTGAGGTGTGTATTTAAGCAAAACGCATGAAATAAAATGTCGATAAAGGGTGCGCCATCGAACACGATTTTCACAATGTACACCCAGAGTGATAATTAGTAAACACTAATAAAAAAAACGTTGTGTTGCTGACTAAAATCGGAATGAGGAAAAAACGCTCACGATTCGATATTTATTCCGTAATTATTTGGTGAATCAATATTATTCGAATGGATATTGAAGACGGTCTCCACCCAGTTTTTGGTGTGCGATCATCGATATACCGATTCACTTACATGATGAATTTTCTATATTTTGCTGTTCTCTTCATTCTCTCTCTCTATTTCTCTCTTTGTCTACATTTAATCGTATGTTTTTGAATGTCTGTAATTGTTTCACAGTGGCAATGTTTGATTCCTTTAACTTTTCAGAATTGAAATGAATGTGCTTCATTTCGACGTAATGCAAATAGAACTGCTTCTTTTGCTTATACTCAACTTCTTTTTGT